GGAACCATCCATGAAATGACATCTGCATGGTTACTGGGGCTGACCTGAAAACTGCCAGTAACCACACTCCAAAGAAGCCAAAAGAGAATATGCCATCGTACAGCAGAAGGTAAAAAAGCTCCAGCGGTCCTTGCCAATCCAACTAAGGAATATTCCTGATCCCAAACTTGGAGATCGTGTTTTAGTGCTGAGCAGACACCTGAGAGGTGCAACCAGCTCCAGCCAACTTCCTCGTCTCGGGTTGTGCCAATCTCCAGTGCATGAAAAGGAGGTGGAAAAGAAAACAAAAACTGAAAACCAATGACACAGAAACCAAGCTAATCATCAAAGTGGGGGGGGGAAATCCTTCCTGGCCTCTACAGGCAACCAGCAGAAGCCTTGAAACACAGGCTTAATTAATTAATTAAAAACAATATGAACATGGTGCAACAAGTCTTGTAAGCACATTGAAGGCATGCAGTATCATCCATACACTGTTATGCAACATGTTGATGACTGTAGCAAGGTCATCTTGAACCTAGTTTGGATCCTGGTGCCCAAGACTCTGTTTCAAAGGCCATCCCTGAACTCTGCTCCTGTGATGTCTAGAAATCATCTTCTAATTTCTAGCCTATATTTTTTTAATGAACCCTATTTGATCTTACACTAGCACTGTCCTTTAATTCAAACAGATTTCCCTCTTTAGCTGGTATTCCTTTCCTGTCCTCCGCATGAATTTAATGCTGAGTAGTCATTCTCCCCTTCAGCCTTTTCAGAGATGAAGACTCAGCATAACCACTAGAAAGGGGTCCTCCCCCAGGTGGCACATATCCTCCAGTTAATGCCCTTGTCCCGTCACACACCCTCTCACTCCTTCAGTGAATCACCCTCCTTCTGCACACTCACTGAGTATCGTTGTTACACAACAGGCATTTATATCCTGCCTGTAACTTGTTCCAATAATTAAGATTCCCCATGGTCCAGCTCATAGCCTGCAGGCCTGATTTAAGCCCTGGGAAGCTTGTGTTTGGCCTGCTGTGGTACTGTGAAGGAGCTATTCAGATGCTCACACTACCCTAAAAATCCGAGTCCTCATATCTGAAGCCAGGTCCTGACCATCTTCACTGAGCTCTCAATTCAGCATGCCCCCTAACATGAAAATGTATCCCCAAAATAACTGGATCCTCCTGGTTCAGTTTTCCTTCCCTCCATCACCTACTATGAGACACACAGCTGATTATCACATGGAGGCGGTGAGCCCAAATTGTCACAAATATCTGAAGTTTATGCCATGTAAATTGAGTCTATCTCATATAAATCACAGCTCTGAGTATCTGTAGATCTACTGTAAGCACACCTGCAGCAGTGATGTTTTTTCCCCATGTGTTCTATACCAGGATAGCTTTACTGCTCTATCTGGATGCATTGCTGACTGAATCTGATACGCATGAAAGCAACAAGAAGCCTTGAACTCGTTCTGCCTGCTCTGCTGTTACGCTAGGAGCTGATTAATGCATGGTCATTGCTCAATGGTGTCTACACGCTTGATGGATTGATTTCCTGTGCTTTCTTGTAGCAGGAATGGCGTGCATGCATTTCAGCGTAACGTTTTTCCGAGCTGTGGACTTGTTTTATATAAAGGGGTAAGAAATGAGAAAGGACTGAAAATATGTAGGACGTGAAAGGGAGTGAGGATTAGTGGGTAGAGCACAGAGTAGGCAATTAGCAAACAGGTTCCCCGCTCCTAGTTTGGTTGGAGTAGTTGTGAGAACGGGGGCCAGTGAAGCATGGGCTGGTTGATCTAATTCTCTATGACTCTTCATGACTTCATCAGTCATTGGTGTTTGAAACTCTGCTCTGGAGCCTGTCTAAAGGAGTGCCCTGGGGTTGGCTTAACTGTTTCTATTCTATTTAGTTTGAAATCGACCAAATTTTTTCACTTTTTCCATCCGGTGGAAGTTTTTTTTTTTAGGTACCTACCCATGAAGATTTTTGCACAGCACGTTGCACAGTGGAAACACTTTAGTACAAGCAATAAACTACCCAAACTTACTGGTGTATATACAATGAAAAAAATGAAGTTCAAAACAAGAACAAAAGCATCATGGAATATTAAAAAAAAAAAAATCAAGGATTTAGAGGGGTCACAATCATGAAAAATAAGAGAATGAGCAAGCAAAAAGGCTGTGTAGCTATTTCAGAAAAAAAGTGTTTCATTTTTGCTGAAAAATTTCAGTCGCTTCCACACTACATGCCTCAGTTTCCCTAATTGCTACATGGGGTTAGCAACCAAGACCTATTTTTGCAAAGGTGTTGTCAAGTTTAATTTGTGAACCTTTGAAAAACGCTCTGAGTTTTTCAGATGAAAGGCACTGCAGATGCCAAACGTGGGTGTATACTCTGAGTCAGAGGCATAGACATGGACATATTGTGTGATCGGCTTGACGCAGTGCACTAGATAGGAGACAGTTGTCCTCTGCAGGAAATGTAGGGATAGCTGGTGCAAAAATCACAGATGATGCTTACACAAGTGTGAACTCATGCTATAGAAATCAGGAGCCACCCTCTGGGAGGTGCAAAGATAAAGCCTGCAATAAAGGGACATCCAGTCTGTACTTTACTTTGGCTTCTAAATAGCCTGAAATGGATGCATGCACACAAGTCTTCAAAATACGGTTGGGAACTGAAGCACAAATTGTCTAACAAACTACCCTTTAACTCCGGTAGTCCTCCTGTGACTCCCAGGCAGAATTAGCCAGCATTGGCAGTGGTTATAAGCACCAATAAGACCACGCGCACCTCAAGTTTCAGACAGGTGTGAACAGTATATTTCCCAGGAGAGGCCAGAAATGACAAGAGAGGGGTGGGCCCCATCTGCAAACAATTTTCTGGCATGAAAAAGACATGATGAGGTGTGATGAGGTGCAGAGAGATGATAGGGAAAAGAGCGGGCTTGGCCTTTGGCTACGGAGCAATGCTGCAGTCCCAGGACGCATGGCAGCAGAGGTGCATTTAGCTCTTGCTGGTCACATGTGGGCCAGCCATGGTTTCACAGGTATTTGCAAGCAGGATGTGCCCAAGGCGCTAATGCCAGGCATGTGGGATGCTGCAAGAGTGAGCTGAGGTTGAAAGGGGACCAGTGAAAGTAGCATTACACAGAAGTGACTGGCAACAGCAGGGAATGTTCCTTACGCACACGAGTGACATCCTTTCTTTCCTTCTGCAGACTTGAGGGATGTTCAGCCCAGACTACTGGCAAACAGATTTTTCTTCAAGAAATCCAGTTTGCACTTGGCTCCATTAGTCTGTATATGCGTATGTGCACATGACCTCCCTCTTTCTGTCTGACACAGAGCATTTAAGCTGAAGATTCTCCAAAATTAAGCAGCAAGGACAGATGCCACTCAAGCCAAAGCAGAACCTGCAGCTTTATGGAACACACCGACTGTCATGAGGACTGACAACAGCCCATCTGAGTCTGACCGGAGCAGCATTAGATGATAGACGTTACAATGTCTTACATCTCAAGTACGGCCATACTTCACTAGTACTGCAACAAATGGAGGAGCTAAAGCCATGGCTGGCATCAGGGTAGGTCAGGCAAAGCACAGCCGTAACCTGATTTTAAAAAGAGCTGCAAAATCCAGACCTGGATTTTTTCCTCCACTACTTAGGACACTTCCAACTGGGGTTTCGTTACAGATTTCTAATGAGAAATTATTACAGGCTAAAAATCACATTCTCCAGCAACATTGCATTCTGCGAAAATTAAATTAAGCACAAATCTTAGGCATGGTTAATTTACACCCTGGGCATTAATCTCAGAGCAATCTCACTGAAATTCAGAGCATAATCTATGCTGAATTGATATGATATGAGTGGAAGATCAACCTCCTTCTTTTGAAGTTGATGGAATTCACCAGTGCTTATAAAAAGCCTTTTTCTTCTGAAATCTTCTGTGATTCCAACAAGTTGAACATTTCCCAGGAATACAGCTAGTAGAGACATCTATTTTTAAAACTCTTTCTCAGTTCTTTTTTCTTGCAAGAAATATTTTGGCCATCTAGCTGTAAAATATTTCCTCTTCCAGGTATGTTACAGGTATGTCTCTCAGTTCAGTGGACGTTTACGGGAAGAGCTACGTAAGATACACCTGAACCCTTATCTCAGCGAGAACATGCAATGAAATAGGCAATGGGGGTTTTATTCTACTAGTCACATTAGTGGAGATTGCATGGCCTGTGGGAAAAACAGGACTAGACAATTTTTACTTCAGGTCAGCTGTGTTCTTCTGATACATGGCTGGGCTATTTCCAGGTCTAGATGGACAGACCCTGCACAAACCCGACATCAAAATCAAAATAAAGATAATAGGGTCTTTTAAACCCAGTATTATCCATACATTTCCCCTCCCTGTCCTACTGAATACAGTAAGCCCTCCGGGGAACCCAGTTTAAGAATGCTTTATTCTAGGCGTTCATTTTAATTACAACCACAATTATTTTTGTGCATGTGTATGACCCAGTTAACAAACCCATCTTTGGCATCTCATGGTCTCTCCGACCCTGCCCATCTCTGCAAGGAGGTAACCTCAGCTCCTGGCAACAATGAGCAAACTTATTTTTGAAACAAGCGGTCGAACTGGTTGCTACATCTTAATGAAAATGATTTTTTTTAAAAAAACATTTCTATGTATATAAACAGCCCTTCCTCCCAAACCTGGTTAGACAAGAATGTTCCTGGGTGTGGACTGCCTTGTATAATTAACTGCACAGCTGTAGCTTCTGATCCCTGGTAACGTCTGTTTCTTCTTTCTCCCTGCGTCTACCTAGCATAATCCAGGCGTTCTCCTCCTCCTTGCAGGAGCTCCAGGTGCGTCACTTGGGCAGAAACTTTACTGCATTCCACCGTCATTCCTTGCTGAGAGAACGACCGGGCAGACATACCCGCTTTGTAGAGGGCTGAGAGACAGGAACTGGAGGAAAGACTGAGCAGTGAAGCCAATTTGCCCTGTTTAGACGATGGAAACGGGGAGTGCAGCAAGGACAAATGGTACCACTGGGAAGCCAGAGGATGTGAAGAGTCCATCTGCCCCCAAAAAAGAAGAAGAAGTGAAGAAGACCACAAACCCTGGTGGAGGTGAGAAGGAAGCTATGAAGGGCACTGGTGCTTCTTTGGAAACAGGGCAAATCAAGAGCTCCCTCTTCTCTGGGAGTGACTGGAAGAGGCCCATCATTCAGTTTGTGGAGTCGTCCGATGAGAAGAGATCGACCTACTTCAGCATGGATTCGGCAGATTCAAAGAAGATGCAATATGCCAGTGGACAGATAGGAGACATGAGGAGACCACCCCTCTCCTTTGCAGAGAAAGGTGACCTCAGGAAGCCCCTCTTCTCCTTGGATTCCAAAAAGAGCTTCCTGCCTAGTGAAGGGGAAGGGAGGAAGTCGTTGTTCTCTGGGGGGCAGATGGGGGACCTGAAGAAAACTTCCCTCCCTCTGGTGGAGACAGGGGACCTGAGAAGATCCACCTTCAACAAGCTTGACAGAGCAGCTGGGTCACGGCCCAGGGTGAAGCTTGAGGATGTTCTGTGTGATTCCTGCATCGATAACAAGCAAAAAGCCGTGAAGTCCTGCTTGGTGTGCCAGGCTTCCTTTTGTGAGCTGCACCTCAAGCCCCACCTGGAGGGAGCAGCTTTCCGGGACCACCAGCTCCTGGACCCCATCAGGGACTTTGAAGCAAGAAAATGCCCTGTGCATGGGAAGACCATGGAGCTGTTCTGTCAGACAGACCAGATGTGCATCTGCTACCTCTGCATGTTCCAGGAGCACAAGAACCACAGCACAGTGACAGTGGAGATCGAGAAAGCGGGAAAAGAGGTAATGCTCTTTTTATTGCATGTTCCCATCAGTCTTTCCAATGGACCTCACTATTACACCACAGCTTTTGCTCTCCAGCCTACAGTTTCTCCCAAAATCATGTCTGCAATGTAATTCTGGCATGCAGGGGTCGTGGATGGGAAGTGTTTAGTGGAGAACTGATATTGCCTGGGTTCTACTGCAATGGGATTGTCGTTCTCCTAATGGCTGGTTACAGCAGCATAGCGCTGGTGTTGTGTAGCAGACCGGGTTGGGGGGGTGGAGAACCTGGTTTCCACCCCTGGTTGCACCACTGACTTTCGGCAGAAGCTGAATCAAAGCTCTACATGCCAAGTTTTCAAAAAAAAGTCTCAAGTTTTGACAGTGTTTGTGTAGTGTTATCCACAGCCAGAAAGGTGGGGCGTTGCTCAAGTTCAGGACCTCCAGAATACAGGTCGTCAGATCAGTGGCTGCTCAAGTTACTAGTGGCTGCTAGGTTACTATTGAAAATTGCCATCTCAGCTACTTAGAGTGAGATTATGGCTTTTTGTTTTTCTTTTCTTTTCTGTTACGGATATAATAGTGTCAAGCCCCACCTATGGAAAGAGTTTTTTGAAGGTTAGATGAAGAAAAAATCCTGGTGCAAACACAAAACATTATCATTTCCCCTGAAGTATCACTACAATAGGTTCAAAGGATGGATATGTAAGGAGATGAGGCTGGTATGTGAAACAGTCCTCACTCTAATGAAGTGTCTTCCACCTTTGTTTGCTTAAAGTCTCATGCTGTTTGCTTTCTGGGTGGATGTATGATTATTCCATTAGCTCTTAGCCAAGATCAGGGTCTCACCGTGTTCAGTGCTGTACCTCCCCATAGTAAGAGCATGTCCTGGCCTAGAGACCTTCTGATCTAAGCAGACAGGACAGGAGAGATTACAGAAAGGAGACCCACGAAACAGCAATGTAAAACAATTTGCCTAGAATCACACAGACAGTCCACGGCAGAAAGTGGAAGGGCACTAAGATCTGCTAAATCCTAGTCTTAGGCACAGCCCGAGCCAGCGCTCTGATGTGGTGAACAGGCAAATACAAGTACCCGCTGTTGGAAATTCTTGAATTACCCTTAACTTGGAAGGACAGTTTAACTCTTTCTAAGGTGCTAGGAAGATTTATCTCATAAGGCTGAAAGAACATCTTATCTAGAGCTTATGTCTTCCTGAGCAAATTTTTGGTCTTTTCTTGCAATGTCATCTCCAACTTGCAGCCTTGCTGAAACCAGACAAGGTTTCTTCCATGTCTCAGACAGTCGTTCTTAAAGAAATTCCTGCACGGCTTGCTAGCTTGCTGTTTGTTTCATAATTGCTTGTTCTTGTGTTTTTGATGTCAGCTCTGAACACGGCATATGCTTAGCTCTCATAAAGCTGTGTCTAGTGTCTGCCAGGTTGTCCAATTCCTCTTAGCTGTTTCTACCGAAAAGAGGTTAACAGTTGCTCCCTGAGGAACCAAAGCTGGCCAGAGCGTTCTTCCTGTAGTTGGATGGACCTTCAACACCTTGCTTTTAAAGAGCCAACCATAGCTGAGCAGAGAAGACTTTACCTAAGATTTAAATTACTTTTGATTTCTTTCTCAGAGTCCTTGTGCCACTCTTGTTAGCTCCATGCTTTAGTTCCTGTACTGTCTTGTGCTGTTTCTGCTGCTGCTAATCCTAAAGGATTTAGGGCTTTATCAAAATGAGTCATACACATGTGCAAGTTTCTCCTGACAACGAGTTTTGATCATGTTGTAACTTGAGTGAGTATTCACTCAGACAAAAACAATTAACAGGATAGCCGTTGCTTACAAATGTTTATTCCTAGCCCTGATTTATTCACCATTGGTGGGGCCTTAGCCAGAACCACAAAGAGGAATGAACATTTCCAAGTCCCTTCTGTGCACCACCTATTCTTTTCAAGTCTTGCAAATCAGCCAAGCCTGGAATATGACCACAAATTGGAAGAGTGGCAAAGCACGGCTGGTGCTGCTGGCCTTTGTGGAAAGAATAAGCAAAAACCCCACATCAGGTCAACCCCGTTCCTGCCCTGTTTTCACAGCCTGGCATCCAAGCAGCTCCAGGGTAGCTTTACTGCCTCCAAGTTTGCTAACTATGCCACCAGACTGGTGACCAGAATACAGCTGTATCCAGATAGACCCTTTCACAGAGTGTTGGTTGTCAAGGAACAATTGGTTTATCTGCAAGGATTTCCCAGTCCCTGGCTGTACTGTGACTCCAAACCTGGAGAGGATTCCAGCAGAACTGGGGGGGTTCTATGCTGTGATGCACTTAAGCCTGTCAATCTGGGTGCTCAGCAATTCGGTGGCACAAAACTGTCACATAATAAGGTGTAATATCCTTGTTTTAGGTACACCTATTCCTTTCGTATTGCAGAATTAATGCAGGTTACAGTCTCTTTCATGAGTTTATCTTTGCTATAGGCCTGTAGGGAAGAGAGGTGCTGTACTTCAGCATTGGGAAAGCAAGGGATAGTTTAAGATCCTTCTGTAGAATTAGGTAACTCTGCTTGCCCCACAACGCAGACAGAGACAGTACAGCTTAAGAGAAGAGGAATGCAAACAAGCCAGTATACAGACACCTACTGGTTAGAGCATTTAAGCAAGCAGTGGAAAGCCTGATATGTCTCTGTCTGTGGAAGAGAGGGAGAACACAGCAGCATCTTCCACTTTTCGGGAGCCTGGGGTGAGAGTCAGTCATCCCCCTTCCTGGTGTGCTGCTGAGCAGGCAAGAGTGAAAGGCACAGGAGGTCAGACAGAGACAACTTGGCAGGGAAGACAGAGGCATTTTTTCTGAATTTCCACACAGTGGTATTTGCGTATTTTACCCCGCAAACCTTTAATGCCTTACCCAGATCCACTTTGCATTAGTTTCCTGCTATAGATTTAAAGGAAAAGTAACACCCCCACCAGAATCAGTACAAGAAACAACCAAGAAAAAGTCTGTGAGGCTGGGTAATAAACACACACAGTTGAAAAGTGAGAATTGTCAACAGCACCTTGTACACTCCAATAAAACCCTCTGGCCAGCTTGATTTGTCAGCAGAACTAGAGACCCCTTTCAGACAGAATCCTTCATTGTGGAAGAGGATCCTTCATTCAAAACCTGTTTTACAGGCTTATTCTCAAAACGAGACAACTTCACGTATGCCTGCCAGTCACAGAGCTGTAAATAACCTGGCGTTACTATCCAGCGCCAGCCTTAGTACTCAGCATGTCAGGTCAGTTCTAGTGAAAAGCACTTTGAATTTTTTTTTTCTTTAATTTTTTACCTTTAAAGAAAAGTTCACATTGTACAGCAGGTTTAAAGAGGCAGCGGAGAACTGCCATGCGGAAACGGGAGCTGGGTGTTCCTCATTTCAACAAAGTGACTTTTAAAAGGGGAGACTTCACAGAGTCTGAACTAGCCGTTGAAGTCAACCGTGCACAGAGATGGATCCAGAGGGATTTCTATCTGAGCCCTCTCTGTATTGCTTTCACTGTCTGAACAGAAAGCAAACAAGAGTGTATCAATGTGCCAGTGGAAGGATTTTTGGCCTTTCCCACTGATGCAAGGTTAGGGCACGATGTGGCTGTGAGACCTTATATACACTAGTTGTGGTTGCTCTGCAGACACAGCTTAAAATAGATGCTCTTTCCACAGAGATGGTGTGGTTACCTGCAGGACATTCTTCCTAGCTGGAAGGCTGTGGAAGCTGACCTGCTGCAAATTATGATTTAGAGTAGGTTTGCCTCTTTGCCTGCATTCTGCATTAATGCCTCTACAGTGAGGGCAGAACCCAAGGAAAATCCACCAGTTTGCACGTAAGGAATTCTCTTCAAACTGTGCAAAGCAGAGCGCCTTTTCTGGCCTCAGCTCATGCAATGACTAGTGGCATATTTGCAGGATGCTGTCACAGTCTCCAGAGACTGTAGCCCACTGACACCCACCTCTGCTTAACAAAAGCTTAGATGGAAAAATGTCATGGCAAAACCAGCAGAAATAATGTCTCAATTTGCTGATTTCTCAGCCATGTCATTTCCAATACAGGTCCTGTACTGGGACAACTAGTTTAAAAACTTCTTCTCTATCTTCGTTATTGCATTTGGTTGTTGCTGTCAGGTAATTAGCATAGCTCTTCCAGGCTGGTGACACAGGGGTGTTCCTTGATTCAGGGACTGGGTTCCCAGAGCATTAAGACATGATTATGCTTGTATTGCTGCCTTGCAAAAATAAGTTGCATCATGATGCAAGACTCATAATCTTGCATCTCTAGGTCCTTTACAGCACACGGGCTAGGTTCAGCTGTGGATGTTTAGGTGTACACTCTGAACTTTCACTTAGGCCTCTTGACTGTCCTAATTAACTTAGACTCTAATAGGGGATCCTCTCTTAGCTCAAAGACTCTCAGTGCCAGCATTTCTCAACTTGCTATAGTCAAACTGAAGAGTCTAAACCTTATTTCCTAGACCTTCTTCACTGTTACTGTTATTTCTGCACTGCAGGGACTCCCCCCACAATGGGTGGAGCTGCTATATTATCTTTCACTAGGACCTTCTGAACCCCAAGTCTCACCTAATGGATTTGTTCTGGGTGGTCCATCACATAAGGGGATTGGGGATTGTTGACCGTGGAGAATCTGAGAAATATGAAGAAACCTAGGAGAGAAGTTTCTTCATAGGGAATGAAGCTGAGAAGTTGACTGTCCCTAGTACCTGTAACCACCCTACTATAAACGTAACACAGGATGTATGTGGGCAGCTAAAGCAATCTTCCAGCCAGGCCCAGACCAAACACGGCCTTAAAAACATCTTGGAATCACCTGTGCTGAACCCCTTATGTTGTGGTCCATCTCCAGAGCATCCCTACTGAATCCGTCTCCTTGTGCCCATGTCACCAGTTCTTGTACTATTCCATAGTCTCCCTGGACCTCTTTTTAACATTTTTTCTATGGTAAGACTAGTTTTAATGTTTGTACTATCATGCAATGAAACCCCTCCCTTCACCTCCCTTGCCTTTGCTGGTGTCTGTACTAGTGTTTCCTTTTGCCCTCAGTATGGGCGTTTTAACCCAAGCCGAACCTGGATGACTGTGGTATTTGCATTCTGGCTATTGAAACTATCTCTGTAATTTCCATCTGCAAATCATAATTGCCACTCTAAATTGTAGTGCGGGTCTGCTCTTAAATAGTTGTTACATCCCATCCCAGAGGCACCCAAACTACCTTTCTGGGTGAAGGGATATTATAACTGCAACAAGCTGTTAAGAGTTAGCTTTCACTTTTGAGCAAGTAATAGTTTGCAAAATTCCTTTGAGACCCATCTTAATTAAAAAGTACTATAAAACTATAATATTGTCATCACGACCTTCCAGCCATCACCTGAAATTTTTTCCTGTTACTTTTCTTTTCAAACCCCTTGCGTTTGGGTGTTTGGGAGTGTCTATGTGGCTTTGAAAGGTCTGCTCTTCTCAAAAAAATCCCTCTCTCTATGATTTCACTCACATTCTTGTCATAAGGACATCCTGATATTTAGGAATGAGGAGGGAAACAAGACCTCCCATTGCTCAGGAGATGTGCTTTTTTTACTTTGCTAACAATTAATGCCATCTGGATGTAGCTCTGTGGCTCAAGGAAACAACTTGCATTATAGTGTGATTTCTCACATTGGTTACTGCAGTGCGATGGATATCTGGATCTAAAATGTTTTAATCTCATTGCATTTCCCTGCTGTGCAAAGATGGTTGCACACCTTTATGTCTTGATGCAGAGGACATCTCACAGCGCACATGAGAATGGAAAAAAGCATGCATTCCTCCAAGTCACTGTCTTGAAAATGTGAAAACGATATGATCAAGCTCAAGCCTTTACTCTCTTGATCAGTAGTAGAGCGAATTTTCTCATCTTGATACCCTTCCATGTCTGCTCTGAACCCCTGTAGAATATGAGCTCATGACTGCATTCAGTTGACTACTGAAGGCTGTCAGGGTGTATGGATACTATTTAGAGGGCCAGTGCTCTCCTAACTCTCGACAAACAAGGACAGTGACAATGTGAGGATGCAGCTCTTCTGGTATTGAGATACCTTCGAGTACATTTGCCTTTTTTGTTCTCCCTTTCTTCTGTTTTATAAGGCAATAAAACGACTATCAAATTGTTTTCCCTCTATAAATAGAGATTTTTCTAAATTGGATGAGCTAGAGTCAATGGCTCTCAGATGCAGCTGTGCTTGATTCAAGTTCAAGAGGATGTTCAGACACGACAGTGACTGGCACCAAGACAAGAGCCCTGATGGGCTGATTTCCTTGGTCTGAGCTGGTTGACAGTTTGTTGCCTGCTCTTCGTCGTGTGATGCTGTTTTCTACTCCTTGAATGGAGAATTGAAAACTTTTAAACTCCCACCCCAAGGGCAACCATGATCACAAGAGAAGACCCAGGTTTTTACATTGTATTATGTTCTCGGATGCGCAGCAAAGCAGTGGGAACTACACCTTGTGTTTTACCAGCAGGGAGACCTCACTGTGCTAGTTGCTGTAGGAATGGATTTATCCATCCCTCATCTCCTCTGCCTCTAACTGTTGGCCTAAATGTAAGTGCTTTTGGGTAGTACAACCTTTTGCCAAAGGAACCCACATGAACAGCGGGTTTTCAGAACTTTTCTAACGTGACATAGCTCAGCTGTGGAATACAGGTAATTTCTGCCAACTGCGTAGTTCCTAAACAGCTCTGGGGATAAGTGTCCCATAGCCAGATTGCCTGTAGTTATAGTTGTGCTGTGACCAACCTGTACACACATGAAACACAGAAAGATCTTGAAACGCGTAAACAAAGCCTTTGTCATGATCTGTTGGGCAGGGACGTGGTGAATATGAATGACCAAGGGAGGGGTTGCCCAGAGTTAACGGCGCAAGGCATTACTAAACAGCCAGGTCCTGGTCTGATCCAGACATGTGGCATGCACGCCAACCGGCATGTTACACCGGTGCATGGCTGCCCAGCCCTCCACCGGCTCCAGTTCTATGAACTGCCTTGCATGCAATTGTCTGGTCTGAGCTTCTCTGGGAAGCCAGTGCAAAACGAAATGCAAATGAATCCCAGTGAAGTTGCTGATCTAAGCCAAGCATAGATGACTACACCTCCTCCCTCCTCCTTTTGTGTTTTTTATTTTTTCCAAGCATTCCCCAGCTTCATCATAACATGAAAGCTCTCAATTCAGAGCAAATTAATCCACAATCCTGTCTAAACAGAATTCCTGCCGGAGGCACCGTCCTCTTGTTGCAACACTCGTCAAACGTCATTCCGTAATTACATGAAAACTGTTATTGCTGCAGAGGCACACCCTGGGATGGGCCCTTCGCTGCATACACAGCTGAATTTTGAAACAGGCCTCTTCTCCCTCCAGCTAATGACTCTAATCTGATTAAAAGCGGCACCATGATGGTAGCCTAGTAGGTGGGTGCTTCTGCTGCTGTCTTTGCTGAGGGAGCTGAATCTCTTGACCCAGCCAGAAGCTCTGGGATCTAGTCTAGTGTCATCACATAATCTCCATTTCAAGCAGTGCCAGGAACCTGTACCTCCCAGCTATTATTGTTCAGGGCCAAATGCGTAAGCGGAAGCACAGTGCCTCTTTGAAGTAGGCCACCCTCAGCCCCAGTTCATGAGACTCCCCTCTTCTCACAGGCTGAGCTTTCACTGCAGAAAGAGCAACTGCAGCTGAAGATCATTGAGGTAGAAGATGAAATGGATAAGTGGCAGAAGGAGAGGGACCGTATCAAGGTGCGTATGGGATATTCTTTTAAGTTCATGTCTCTCTTTCTCCTGTACTTGTCACTTTCCTTTCTTTTCCACTTTCTTGCATCCCTCTCCTCCTTTCCTCTATTTCTCTGACATATCCAGCTCTTACTCACTCCATCTCTATCTCATCACTCTCGCCAAATCTTGGAAACAACAACTCCTACTGAAGTCATCTTGCAACATACCCCGCAAGAGATCAAGAAGAGGCAGCACAGCCTTGTTACAAAATGATCCAAGGCACCTCCCTGCTTTGGGTCCCTTACAGTTCTTCAATCACCAGTAGCCAGGCTGATTCGAAAACAAACGTGTGCTGCTTTTTTTCCTGCTAGACCACACACAAAAATAAACTCCAGAAGGGCTCTGGATTGCCCAAACAGAGATAAGGCAACAGGAACAGACGCAGTTACACCAACAAACATCTTATTTATAATGGAACAGCTTATTTCCATACTGATATAGGGCTCCTTTATAATTCTTTCACCACGCTAAGGGTTAGAATATAGTAACGGTGTTACTTTTTTTCATTTATACCCTAACTGAATAGAGCAGTGAAAACACTATTTGGAGACGCCCCAGAAAATTTGCATAATATTAATAGGCAAAGCCATTCTTCTCCCTTTTATGTGGTACACACACATTGGCTTGCCAGTTCTGCTTTTCATCTGCTCTATTATTATTATTATTACTATTATTATTATTATTGGAAATATGACCTAGAAATTTTAACTCTGAAAATAGTTACATTCACAGTCCTTCTGAAGAACATTTCAGAAGGACCTAGAGGTCAGATTTGTAAAAAGCGCTTCAGCACATTTCATCCTTTGAAATGGTGGGAATTTGGTCCTCAAATTCTTGAGGAGCCAGAACGATAATTTAGAAGGTTAAACAGTGTTTTTAAATATCACCTAAGAGTGCAGTTCATGAATTGAAATAAAAGATATGCTCTTATAATCAGGAAGACAGCATGCCCTGTAGATTACACACACATAATTATTGCAAGAACAAGTATTACTTCTCTTGGCATAACTTTTCTGGTGCTAAGACTTACATACCTAGAGTCTCCATAGTCACAGTCTAAATGCTGAGAATGCTTGGACACATCTCCCTCTGTATCCCTCTCTTAGGAAGTGACTCCCTGAGAAGTTTAATATTTTATTTCTCCTGCATCTTTCCTGCTGCCTCCTTTCTTTACCCCTTCCCTCCGCAGAACTACACCACCAATGAGAAAGCCACAGTGGAGCAGCATTTCAAAGAGCTGATCCGTGACCTGGAGAGGCAGAGGGATGAAGTGAAGGCTGCGCTGGACCAGAGGGAAAAGATTGCATCAGAGAATGTGAAAGAAATCGTGGATGAGCTGGAAGAGAGGGCAAAGCTTCTGCGGGAGGACAAGGAGAACAGGGAGCAGATCCACCAGATCAGTGACTCTGTGCTCTTCCTGCAGGTAACTGAGATTTCATTTTCCTTTCCTTTTACTCCCATGAGGACAGGATTTGTCCCAAAGACAAATCCCAAGTTGGTGTAAGATGCATTAATCTTCTCCAGTTCAATGCACATGTATGGCAAGAACCAGCCCTGACATTTGAAGCAGTCTCTGCTCTGGTAGGTGAAGAATGAACATAGGCATGCCAACACCTGATTTTTTGTTGATGGCTACAGCTCACAGGCAGAACATTTGACTGCCCCTCCATCTTCACTGTTCTCCTTTGCACTTCATACTATTTGGAGCTAACATTAGCCAGTTCCCTAGGATCTACCCTCTGTCTCACGTTCCTCAGTAACCTCTCCTCCCTTCTTTTTGACAGGAGTTTGGGGCTTTGATGCGGAATTATGTCCCCCCTCCATCTCTCCCAACATACAGTGTGCTGCTTGAAGGGGAGACCATGAGCCCATCTATGGGACTGCTCAGAGATGACCTCCTAAACGTCTGCATGAGGCATGTGGAGAAGATCTGCAAGGCCGACCTTGGCCGCAACTTCATAGAGAGGAACCACATGGAGAATGGTAGAGTATCTGAGATCCGCCCCTTCCTTCCCTCCCTCCCTGGGCAAAGCCTAGCTCAGAGTCAGAGGAGATGAAGTGTGATGAGTGTGCTCTCTCAGAGGAGAAAGTAACCAAGGACCTAAGGAAAGTGGGAGAAACACTACCTGTAGCTGAAACTCATTCTGGAATATCAGAGCTATCCTACCAGACCTATGTGGGGATGAAACCAGTTGAACTGCCAGGGATTTAAAGTATCTCATGTGTAGGGGACCCAGGGGTCCAAACTAGCCCTGCTTCCCTGAGTGCTATTTCACATTATGGCTTCGCAGTGTTTAATCAGTTCAGCCACATCCCGTGTGGGACTTCAGAGCAACACTTCTTTTAGAGGTCGAGAACAGTGACCCTTCCCTCCAGCAAGAGGCCAGCAGGGACACTCTGCCTTGTGCCAGGCTCCAACAAGCCCCTGCAAGCTTAGCACGACAGTTTCTACGTGGAAGACTGCACAGATACACTAATGCAACTCAGTGGCTCACTAGGTAAATTGAGAAGGCAGTAGCAGAAATGTGAATGTAGCCATCCCAGTATGGCAATTTTGAAATCCTGTCATTAGCCTATTTGTACAGCTTGGTCAGCACATTTGCTGTGCTGGTATGACATACCATTTTACAACAGCCCGTTTCAGCCACTGCTTGCCTGGCTGGAACATGAAATACCCTGCAAGCACCTGTCACTGAAAATCTAGTAACAGATTTTCCAAGTAAAAAGGTCTCCATTTTGGTGTTCAGGTTAAGCTATGACTTGAACCAGCATAACCCTCTCTGATCATACTTCTCTGCATGTTCCACTAGGGAGAGGTTTGTTTCCCACCTACCCTGAGCCAGGGCGTTCAAGGGACATGCAGTGCCAAATGGTCCCCACGCTTCAGTGATGTTTAAGGATAGGTGATCTTTCTTATGTGAATAGAGAGGTCATGGTCAATACTGCAGCGCTGCGAGGAATCTGCTAAGTTTTAGAATCCACTTACTTTCTGCATCTCCCAATTAGTTCTGCAGAAAGGACTTGTCTTGCATCAAGCTCACACTAAGATTAGGAGGACAGGGCACTAGAATAGGACTCCACAACTGAGGTTCACTTCCCAGCTCTCCCACAAACAGCCTTTGTAACCCTGGGCAAGTTACTTAATCCCATGAAATGACCTCTTGCACTAAGAATAATAGGGATTGGAATTAATTGTTATCCCACCAGACTGCTATAAGGATATAATCTATTAATAATTGTGGAACCCCAGATACCAGAACAATAAAAGTCAAGAAGTTGGATAGGTAACCTGAAGATAAATCGCACCCTGCTGTCCAGGAGGACGTGTGACTTGAAAAGATGAAGGAATAATCTCAAGTCCAGTTCATACAACACAAGCAGCTGAGGAACTCTGCTGCAAATCTGCAAGATCACTGTTATTTCATTCAAATTCACAGTATTCGCTAGACATTCCTTCCATATTAATACACCACCTTTTTTTCCTGGGCAACAGCCATGCAAATCACTCCAACTTCCTTCCAGAAAAGACAGATCCACATTACGAGATGATACAATAGAGGAGGGGAAGAAACAACCAAAAAACTCCCCAAACCCCAAAACCTAAAACCCAGACAAAAAGCAGCCTGTTGAAAAGATGCATAGAGGTCAGAACAACATGGGTTCAGTTATTGGTCAACACGCTAATGTTTTTCAGAGCCTGGGTTTTGTGAATCAGCCTGTCTGGCATTCACAATCCAGAGCAGTAAGAATGAAGGTGACACGGGACCAGAGTACATTTAGATCTGTAATGAGAATCACTAGTATTCATCAAGTGACAGCCTGCTGCCTTCCTATGTTATGGAGAGAAAGAGTAAGTCCCTGGCCCCAAGGAGCCTGCACTGCAAACAGTTCATTAATGTTTATCTAGCACCATCATTCTCCATTAGACATGAATTAGACAGACTGGATACTTCTGGTCCAGAGAACCAACCTCTCAGAAAAGTCAGGAATCACATTCAAAGTGCTCACGATGCATAGCAAGAGCCAGATTTTTAAACTCTTCCCTACCCTTAAAGTAGTACCAGAAATTGAACATTACTTGTCTTCCAACATTTAACACTGCAATGTACCTGGTCAAATTCTCAACACTCCATGTGCTAAGATCTGCTGAGAAATTTGGCTATAACTTAATACAAATAGATGACAGGCAGCTCAGATCCAAAAATCACTTTTGTACATTTTTCTCTCTTCTCCTTTGCCCACCCGGAGATTTGCAGAATTTCCAAACTCTGGATGGCATAATGCAAAAGGGGTTTTGGATGCCTGACTACTCACAGCACTTCTGAAAACTAGATGAGTAGCATAAAAGCACTTTGCATTCAAGTTACCATTACTTAGGAAGTTACCTTCCATCTGCTGAGCTGTTTTTTGCCAACCTGAAGCAAATACAATTTACTTGGCCATTTGTGCAACCCAACAAGAGTATGCCTATGTTCAGTTCTAGTAGCTCTGGATAAAGACTGACTACTTCTTGATCACTTTTAATTAGGGTCCCCTCCATGTTACTGATGCCAGAAGTTCTCAATGGTACTTGAAATCCGTGGGATTCAAGTGCCAAAACATTTCTGAGCCGGGCAACAATTAACTACTGCCATAAACCTGGGCACTTTCAGAAACTTTACCAGGGATTTAATGGACACAGCTTGGAGTCTGCCTAACGAGAAGAACAGTGGTATCCACTCAGTTGGGAAATGTTATTTAAGGTGAGTCTCAGAAACTTCAGAGCTCTCCGTTTTTCAAACCACAGTTACACTTGAAAGAGGACAGCACTCTGCATCTAGTGACTGCAAGGAAATAACTCCACAATTACTTAATGGATTTAATTAACTCAGACTCCCCCTGAGTCATTGCAACAAATTCATTTGCAACCGGCTTGATCTTCTAGTGTAAAAAACTTCCCAGGAAGAAATATTATATTAATGGAATGAAACCTGCTTAATAGCAGACTCCAAAGGGAATCCACTTTCTTTTAGTTGTCATAATAGGCACCTACTTAGTAGTGTGGCAAGGAGGCAAATAATCAGAGCGCATCCAGGGAGTTTAAATAACACAGAAATAAATTGGAAAAATAACATGAAAGCTTGTTCAGTGACTTAAGAATCAAAGAATGGAACTATTTAAACATGGGAACCACATTTACCCCCTTTCAGAGAACAATAGGTTTATATAACACTGGAGGCCTTAAAAAAAGTATTTTTATGAACAACTGTACTGATAGAGCATCATTTCATGTGGATCAGTGTTGGAAAACCAAAACCAGGCTGCGTAATACCTGGCAAAAGGGTAGGTTTCATCCACTTTGCATGAAGCCTGAACCAAACGCCCTTGTCCAAGAGCCCAGGAAGTTAGAGCTGTTTGCAACTCAGGTTTAGCATCTTTCTTTAAAAATTGAACAAACCAACACATTGAGCCCTCCCAACACTGACTTTCTTGAGTTTTATAATACTTGCAGTTCAAGATCTGTTGGTTGAAAGCCAGCTCTGCGTGCAGGTTAAACACACAAAAGAAGCCAAACCCAAACCACTGCTTTTGAAGTGGGATACATTTTTAGCCACAGAGCAGTATTTTGGTAGGAAGATGCCTGAACCCTCAAGTCTCCCTATGGATTTTCAGGAGATAGCATATCCACTATGCTATCATGGCCCAATGCTTCAGCTGTGCTACACCTCTTGAGGGAGCTTTCTCTTTTATCCCAGGCTGAACCTCTGGGCAGCTACAGCACTGCTTTACGTCCCAGCTAGAGAGTCCTGCAGAGGAATTACAAAAATAGAGGAACTTGTTTCCAAAGGGCAGAACCATCTCTCCTGCAGCACTTGAGGAAGCAATTCCAGTCTGTTATCCCCTTCCCCCTCCTCCCGTCCCTCTCAAGGCCACTAAACTGCCTCCTCCAGCTCACGTCCTGCTCTGCTTCTCCAGGTGACCACCGGTACATGATGAACAACTATGAGTGGAACCAGCCTGACAACTTGAAGAGATTTTCCATGTTCCTGTCTCCTAAAGGTATGGCACCCTAATGGTGGTCAGGTTTCCTCCAAACACAGCATAGGAAAGGAACTTCATTAATGATTATCCCAAAATTTGCTTTCCCTCATATTTTCTGCTGTCCCCCGTACAAGATTGGTCCCTCTGCATTAGTTTATGCCAGGTCTTCTCTGCAGCCTACAGTGCTTTGAGAATTTTTTGCCTTATCATCTCAAACAAGCAGCAAAGGTTCTCAACTCATGGAGGAGAGCTGGAGCAGCTGAACTCTTTCAAGAGTTTGTGAATATAGGGGAGTTTCAACATGTGTTACCGGGTTGAAGTAAGTGTTATGCTCCACTAGAAGCTTACCCCACTGTGCTATCGAGTGTGAAAGCTACGCTAGGCTTGCTCTGCATTAGGATTTTACTTTCACCAGAAAACATACTTTTTCCCTACAGGGAAAGGATAGAAGTGAGGAATGTGTCCTAAAAAAGCAGGAGTCTGGGGTTCTTTTCTGAGCTCTGACACTGACAACAAGAGCCCTGGTGATTTGCTTATATCCCAATTGTTACATGAACACTACAGGATGAGTCTTTGGAGTGGATGACCGTTTTCAACACATGCCATTGTAAAATGGCAGTTGTCTATTTCTAAATTAGTGTCAGGACCTCCAGAGTGAGAAGCAGAGAGTGCTAAAAGCCTAGGCAAAGCAATGCCTGTAGAAACAAAAGAACAGGAATGGTAGCACAAAATAAGTAACCAAATTTCCTCTGGTCCCTAGAGAGCAAGATGCTGCCTGGGTTTGCCAGGTGTTTACAGCTGCTGTTCTGCAAAGCCAGATGGCAGGCAGGGCGAAGGGATATGCCAGCAATTAGCAGTAGCACTCCCCTGAAGGCGTATTTGAAATGCGCTCCGTCCTTGGGGTTTCGTGGGGCTAACCCAGATCCCAACACTGGGCCCTTTGTCTGGATTTCCACTTTGTCCTTCTCCTCTGTTACCAGCCCACGCCTGGCAGCTCGCTGGCAGCCCTGCCTGGCACCGTGGGAGTGAGGACGCCATTGGAGCAGATACCAGGCACTGAGACGACGTTCCCAGTTCAGCAGCAGAAAGCCTTTAGCAGGACTGTTTCCTGCAGGCCTCCCAAAGTTAGGGGGCAGCCTCTTCATCAGAGGCTGCAGAGGGGCATTTTGCCAGTGGTGGGTTTGTTTTGCACGGAACCTGTCTCCAAACACCGCCTGGATGGTTAAAGCTGCTGTTCTGCCACAGCTGCTTCAGGGCTTTACAGGCCCTGTGCTGTCAGGGAAACACATGTTCTGCTAAGCGGAGCTGCTGATGCTGGGGGGAGACCACAGTCTCAGCCCTGCATCCAAAACTGTTTTCAACATGAAGGGATGATGGAAAGTTAGTTCTAGAATTGCATGGGCTGAACCCATTTCTACCCAAAACATGGGGCTTCAGGTTCGGGTGGAAATGGCCCAACATGCATTTGAAGGCGGGGGGGGGGGGCGAGGCTGCGATGGGAGGAACACAGCAGACTGCCATTCTGCCATCACCGCTCCCATGCGTGTCTAGGACAGGGCTGAAACCTGGCGTGGCAAAAGGAAGGGAAAAGCCATTTGCGGCAGTACCATAGCATGGCATAGCCTGGCTGCTCACTGCTTTGGACCATAGTGCCTGGACTTCCCTCTGCTCCTCTCTGGAGGATCAGCTGCTGAGACCTGGGAGCGGGGGCTCCCCAGCTCACAGCTGGGATCCAGCATTCCAACCTCCTGAAGTATGTGCCAACAGACAGCAGGGATCAACAGGGACTGCCAGATACAGGGTTTCTTATTTAGTGCTGTTCATTGGAGCCAGAGGGGACACTTGCTGGATGCAGTCAGCTACAGAGTAGTGTGAGGGCTGTACAGTGGTTTGCAGTTCAGTAGCCTGTTCCTTCCTGCAATGGACTTTTGAATATACAAATACTGAGGGAGCGTTTGTTCCGCCTACACATCTACATTTTCCTGAAAGCACAGACATGTTGCCTTCCAAAACTACTCATTCTGTATTTTCAACCAACAAAGTTATTTTGTCCAAAAAAACGAAGCACATGATTGCACACACAGTCTCTGCTGAAACGGGGATTGAACAGCACTGGATTCTCCACCAGGGTGAGGGCTCAAGCATCATCCCTTATGGGAACACTTTGATAGAAAAGAACCAGCTGCTGAAACCACACTGATGGGGACTTTGGGAACAGAATGAATCAGCAGGCAAAACGGGAGACATGACCCACTTAGCTTGCATGCTGGCTAGCAAAGGATTATCCGATGAATAATGCAATATACCCATAATCATTTAACTCTCTAGAGTTTTCTATGCTCTATCAACGTGTCATGTAGAAGTCTAGCACTGCCTCTGATTGCATCTTTTCTAAGGAATTCCATAAAATGGGAGGAAAAAAAAGAGGACCACCCTTTACATTGCATAATATGCACAGAATCCTTGAATATCTTATGATAGTTTTGTAACACACCCTTTTTCTTGCTAGGTTGGATCACTGCAAATTCTGCCTGAGGCCACAGCGGCAAGTCTGCTGCATTGAGGAATGCTACCGAAATAATGCTCTGTGCTAATTGCAGTGGCCCATACTAAGAAACTACTTGGATTTGAGCTGAATCTATAGGTTTTTAAGCCCTGCTTAAATTCAAGGAGACTTCCACTGCTCTTGTCATTAAAGACAGTATCACAGAGCATCTGCCTGCAGGGATGACATAATGAGGCAGAGGGGAGACATAAAAGGTTTCAAATGCTGCCTAAAAGACAGAAGAACAATCTGTTCAACTGCTCGACACTCCTTTCTGTCCGCTTCCACTGAGCTTTCTTCTCCTGATGTTGCAAACAGTTTGGCCAAAGCCAGGAGGAGGTTGGAAAGATCATCTTGTGCCTTTGGAAGTCTTTAAATGAGGAGTAGAAGGGACACAGCACAAAGGGAGGGAGAGATAACTGCTTAAATAGAAACACTGCTTAAATAGAAAACTCAGTCCACAGGATGGCAGCATAACAGCTCAAAGTATTCATCTCTTTTTTGCTCTTCTGGGAGTCCAATGTCTCACAAAAGGGGTACAACAGCACTAGTCTGCATCACAGCATGATGTCCTAGTGAAACCCTGGAGCACATGCCTGTCACAGTGGCTGAGACAGTGTGTGCTTGAGCAAGAAACGTTACTCTACTTGTGTCTCTTGAGCTCTAAATCCAAGCCTCTGCCTGCAGGTCTCTTTGCAGAATAGTCATGTTGAGTAGACAAACCTGAGTTGGCAATTTAATGCAGGTAAAGACAGCTCTGTGGCAGTGACAGAGCTTTGTTCTCTAAATGAGAAGTCTATTCACCATTCCCTAGAACCCAGAGAAAAAAGACCAGGCTCTCCTCTACTCCCTGGACCCAGATTTCTGGTTTGGTGCTGCTTCCAAATTGGTGGGGACTGTTTCATAGAGCAATGCCAGGCACAGGCCTTTGAGCCAGCTCATCAGGAGCCAACTGCTGAACTGGATGCTCTTGTTTTACAGCCAGTTTCAACCCACGATCATGGGAATTTTCCTCCTTCCAAGCAACTGAGGAAACACTTGGTACGGGTAATTCCGACTTCAGTTTGAAAGGATCTAACCCCCCGTGCCACAGCTTTCTAGCTGGCTAACCAACCTTTTCTGCTTCCCCTCTCAGCTGTCCTCTCACCTGTCAATCACTGTCTCACAGAACCATCTCTTAGCTGGGTTATCAGCATCGTCTGCATACACCCAAACCCAGGGTCTCACTGCTCTAGGCATATAGGAGGGAAAGGCATCCCTGGTCCTCATTGTTCAGACAGTGAAAGAAGACAACGGAAAACATAGGTGCCCATTTGTAAAGATCCTGAGATACCTAACCAACTGCAATCGATGGGAGTGCCAACGTCATCCAAGGCAATCTGTGGAGGTTGTGGCAGAACCAGGAGAGGACTCTGAATACCCTCAGCCACTCTCAGAAGTACAAGGCTGCTCTTCTCTATTGCATATACACCTTTTACTTAGCTCCTAAGTTCTCAAAGACAGAGCCCGCCCCATGTTCACTGTCTGTATAGCGTCCAGCACAATGGGGAGGGGGTGCTTTGAGCTAGTGTACTGAGAACCAGCAGCAGTGAGTCATGCCTTCTCTTCCCAGATCCCCACCTTCCTTTTTCTCGCCTATATTTTCTTACTTTGCTTTGTTCATGCTCAGAGGGGTCCTGCCTTTCATTCAGAGGCAACCTACAAGCATCCACGGCCACTCTACCTGGGGGAGCTCTGGTGACTCACAGCCACACCTAAGTCGTTCCTGCTTTTCATGCCACAGGCAGGGCTGTGTCCCTCTCATCTTCTCTGCTCTCAGATTCATTCTGGCAGCCAGGGCCTGACCCCACAGAGGCCAGGAGGGAAAGCCTTGCTTTAATTTCAATGGGCTTTGAATAAAGCCTCAACTGCTTGGAGGCCAGGGAGCTTCGGCAGCTATGTAGTTTTGCCTCGTTACTCCAGCCTCTGGAGATGCAGTTCACTTGCGAGGAAGCCACTGCTCTTCCATCACACCTGCACTCTGGCTCTCTCAAGAGAAAGGTGCTTCCCTGCCTGCCTGGAGCATTGAGATCTCTTCACACTCGCACGCTGTGTACACTGGGACCCCACAACTGACTGCTCTCATCTGCCTTCTCTTACTAAGAGAAGAGGAACAAAGCTATTAGTTCCCATTTTCCCCCAAGCTGGTTGAATGTAGTTTTACAGGGTGTGTTTTGAAATGCTTAGAATTCCCCACTGCAGCACACAACACCATGGAATAACGCAACCTCTTCTATCTTCCAGTAGGCAATGGTACTAAGCTGCCTTTTCAGTTCTCCTCGGTGGGACAGAATCCGCCCGGTGACTTCAGCAAACAGTCTGACGGGAGCCTCTTCACTAAGACCGGTACTAGACATTTAGTTTTTTCCCCTTCCCCTTTTTTAGGTGATAAGACATTTAATCCTGTTCTTGCTTCTTGCTAGAAGGCCTGGAGCAGTCCTACACCTGGCCCACATCTCCTGCTCTGACTGTCAATCTCTTAGATAAACGCACATGTTTACATGAACAACTTACTCTGCTGAACCAGGGCAACAGGAGTTTATAGGTGATAAGACATTTAATCCTGTTCTTGCTCTCCCAAAGAAGGCCTGGAGCAGTCCTACACCTGGCCCACATCTCCTGCCCTGACTGTCAATCTCTTAGATAAACGCACATGTTTACATGAACAACTTACTCTGCTGAACCAGGGCAACAGGAGTTTATTACAGAGTGTTAAAAAGTATTAAAAAGTTATATCTAGTGAATAGTTGAAAGGGTTTTAAATTTTGTTTGTAATGGGTAGAGATGAGAATTTTATATTTTTAGAGGTGTAGGGACCAGGGAGAAAAAGATACTAGGAAATTATGTTCATGGCCATTTACCCCTCTAGCTTCATCAGTGTTTTAAAACAGCTATTGTCCTGAAAGAATAATAGCCACTGAGCACAACCTTTAAAAAAACATATGCAGTAGGTGCCTGTCCTCCTCCATCTGAACCAGAATCCCCCATTCACAATCCTCTTTTCACTACCCACTAGTTCAAGGGCACCAGAGGTAGAATCCAAGAGCATCAGCACCTGCCAAGCAGAGTCAGGTCCGATTAATTTACGAATGGGAGATGGCAGGGAAAGGCCATTGCCTGATAGCACTGAAACTGGTTGTGATTCACAGCAGGGCTGGTATTATTTTTGAATCAGAACAGAGCTGGTGTGGTAGAAGGGGGTTAGGGCTTATCACACTGCCAGAGGTACTGTCATTAATTTCTGACATGAAACGCAGGCCTCAGCTCTTTGCACTAATTAAACAGCCTATAGTGTTCTTTGCAAGAGTCAGAATGCTTAGTTTGGGACTTGGCCTAAACTTAATTGGACTGATTGCAATCCACGTCTCTGCATTCCTCAGATATTTTAATTAGACAGACCTTCTTTACTCCCTTTTCCTAACTGATTGGGTGGTGGAATAGGCATCTGTCTGATGGCTGTTGTGTCCCACCCCAGAAATGGCTGCATTTCAATGTTAAGCAATGCAATACTAATTATGTGGCACTTCCAGTCCAGCTACTCATCTTGATGCTCGCAAGGGGAGACGGGGATGGTGGCAGGGACTGATCTATAACAGGCTGTTTTATGTTGTCACAGCTTATCCTTCAATAGTGAGACATCAGTCTGCAAAGGTGACGCCACAGACATGGAAATCCTCTAAGCAGTCTGTATTGGTAAGAAATATACCTTTGGTGTGAAAGCATGTGCACAGCTTCAGCAAGAGAACTATCTGTTCTAGGGATACCTGAGACTTCAGAGACTAGGGCTTGGGTCCTTTGGAGATGGGAAAGTAAAAGCTTCAAGTCAATAGCTTCTATTATTTTTTTCTGTGGTTAACTGCATCCACAGAGGGATACAGTTAAGATACTAGGAAGTATCTTAACCCCCCCGCCTCCACATTTCTGGGTTGTAGGAATAATCAATAATTCAAAATGACATTTTGAAAAGATTTTGCCCTGGTCTAAAATTTGATCCAGGCTTCTAGAAGCTATACAAACACTATAGCACACATGCTGCTATCTGTAGTACTTTTCCTCCCTGCAGGGTTATCATACACTCTTAGCAGTCTGTGACATCTAGAAAGTACAGATCGTGTAAATGACACCAGAGACAACCATTTAAAAGTACCTTGCTAATTACATCCTACAGTGGGCAGATGCAATATCAAAGATGAGGGGTCAGACTACGATCAAAAAATCACTAGAACATCTGTAAGTCACTCATTTTGCACTGTTAGCACAAAACAGGTAACAGTGCATTGTAAGGGGCAGAGGACTGATATTTTAGGTCTTGTAATCTTAAATATACAACGTTAACAGTTAATGCATAACCACAGAAACACTAAGTTCATCTGTTTTTCTTAACATCCATTCACACAGTGCTGCATTAAGATCTTGCATGATGTGAATTCAGATCATCAAGTTTTTGCCCCATCTCTGCAGATGAAATCTATTTTTTTAATTCTGATTGTACCTTTGTGAAAGATTATTTACTGTTCCCAGGAAATAAGACTTGTAAGAAGGAGAGGGTCAAGAATCGAGGGCATTCCCACACTGAAGGAAGCAAACAGAGGAAATACACAACTGTTAGAAAGTGGCTGCCGTAAGGACTGCAGCTGTATGTCTCTGCTAAATTTTCAAGGCCCCACCAGGAGATGAATGCCAGTGAAAGGGATATTCCTTGGTAGACTGTACCACTTTCAGAAAATCCAGCCTTGAGTCTCTGAATGTGCTACAGCAAAATATATCTCCTAGGAACAGCAAGGTTTTGCAATATCTTCTGTCTTGTATTTGATCACCACCTTTCTAAAAGATCATTTACTTCATCACGTGTGTGCTCAGATGGAGACTCTTCCCAGTGATTTTAGATACCAACCTATCCTCCCTAATGGTGGTGTTATAGTGGGGAAGTCTGGTCAGGAAAGTGAAGTCTCTGTTAGCACTGGGCACTGGTGGATGTGAGGACGGTCATCTTAGCAATAAGCACCCCACTGCACGACAGTCAGTGTGCTGTGCTCCACGAACACAACCCATGCTTTCCTTAATCCCCATAGAGAAAGCCTGGGTAACTTCTCCCACATGAAGCCACCAGCCTTTTTCTGTCTCCCTTTCTCTCTCATGCATACACTTGTAGTGGCTATTTTATTTTTATAGCCTATATTCACCAGATAGCCCTGAACCTAACAACTGAGTTGATAATATAAGCATTAAAAAGTCCCAAAATAGAAATACATGCTCTGGACTGCAGTAGCTCTGCAGAAGCTTTTATGGTCTATTGGGCCAATAATCTAGCTTTTAAAATAGTCTTAAATATGTATTTAAGTAATACACATTCTAAAAGCTCTGTAAATATGAATTGTCACAAAGGACTCTACTTTTAAGGAGGAATGTCTTTTTAACCCACAGGGAGTTCTTTAAAATGAAGCCCCCTTCTTCCATCTCTTAATTATATTGGAAGTTAAAGCCATAAAATGAAAAGAAGTTCAACAAAAGGGAACATTGAGCAGGAGGTATTGGGAGTCAGCACTGAGCAGCAAGATGGGTTGGGTTTGCTCTGCCCATGCTCCCAGCCTCCTGCCATGCCTGATATTAATCAGTGCGCCGCACAAAAATGTACCAGCATGTTCCTGTGAGGTCTCTCCCACCTTCTGCAACTGAGATCTGGGCAGTGGATCAAACCTAAGACAGATCAGACATTACAAAACCACAGTTGTTCCTGATTCCTTGGTCACTGCTTCATTGGTGTAAGCATATTCTTATCCAGGCTAAAGATTTTGCCTTAAACAGTGCAACCAGCTATCACAGTCAATAAATTGGCTTTTGTGTTTTGCAATGATTCCAAGCCAACACTAGGCTGCACGACAACTTTGCCACGTGTTTCTTATTTGTAATGGTGCAGATAAGAGTGAAATTCCAAGGGTAGGTCCCGATGAGAAGAGATACAATTAGGGACTGCAGTAAACAGAGACAGGAAAATGGCAATTCCTTTAGGTTCTGCCCCATCTCTCCACTCATGCTTCTGTTTACATTAGTAAACAGAACATTTAGTACTGGGCCTTGCAACATGTGGAGGCGCAAATAAACAATACACCATTGTGCGAGAATTTCCATGTACAAGAGTTTTGGCTTGCCAGCCAGAGAGCACAAATAAATACCATGCAACTTAGTTGATCACTCGCATAATCGTGCATGGCTTTAAGTGTGAAAACTCCCATGAGTTCTCAGGTTAGTGAGCAATTAAAAGACACTGACAGAAGCATAAAAATAAAGGTGACGTTCCTCTTCTCCCGGAAACCTCTCATCAAACCATGAGTCACAGTCTGAGATTTTATATGATGCACAGACTCATTTGGCTCAGGAATGAAGTCCATGCAAAGCATGTGCGTAAATCAAAAAGCAACACCATTTGCATTTGATCACTCCAGCACTTCCAGTAGTGAAAAGAGGCAGTGTTGCTCTGCAAGAGGAAAGACTGAAGGTGTTAAGATAGGAGTATATTAAGGTTGGGCTACCTAGAAGGGTGAAGTATAGGCAGTCAGAAAAAGAAGGTAGGTCAAACTCACATGCCCCAAATTCTCCATTGCAGTCACATTACCGCCCCTTTTACGTCAACAAAGGCAATGGAGCCACTTCCAACGAGGCACCATGATTCCTGAAGATTTAGGGAAGAGCTGGCAGCACTTGGAGTGAAGACTCAGCTGCGGATTTTCATGGATGTACCTGCTACTGTATTAACCTTACTGCTCTAATCTCTGCCAGGGAGAGGGAAGGTGCAGAAGGGAATAGCCTTTACTAGAGGAAACAAGGACTTTTTCCAAATCACCTAATCACCTTGAAAGCTCTGCAGGCCTTAACAATGTAACTCCATCCTCTGCTGTCACCCCCTTATTCCTTCTCTGTCAATGCCCTTCCTTTTGCCTCTGCAGAGCGAGCTGCTCTGCTTCTCCTGGGAAGCATGCATGCTTGGGTAGCACCCTCCCCACTCTGCTATACCAGTTGCCCCCTTGTCCTGAGTGTGTTTATACGACCATAGCTATTAAGTCCTGGTGAAAGGTCCCAATCTGGGGGGGCCCAAAGGTCTTCCTGGAAAGGAGAGGCCTCAGCCACTGGGAGCAGTGACAGGCTAAAGCTCTTCCCCATGCCTCTCTACCCCGTACCCGTCCCTGCCTCAGACAGGGACACACAGCTCTCACTGGGATCAGGTCCAGCGCTGCCACCTCCCTGAGATCCCTGCAGACTCTCTCCAGCCCATGCCGGTGGTGGCACGCTTCCTCGGGGCCCTTCCTCAGCTCAGGTCTCCTCCTGCTGCCTTCCAAAAAAAGCCAGCCAACAGGACCTATTCGGAGCTGCTACAGCCCAAGGCCAGCTACTGGTGGAGGGCAGAGAGGCTTTCTATCCCATTGAAGTACCCCTCCAGCCACCTTTTCAAATTAAGAAATAAAAAGAAAATCCATCCTACTAGTATAAGATTGATTAGATGCCATAGGTGTTGGGTGCTTTTTTGTTTTGTTGTGGTTTTTTAATTCCCCTAAAACAAAATTGATTTATCTATTGTGGTTCAGGTATTTTTTCTGCAATGGGAATTAGTACCACAGCTTTTTGCTTGGGATAATATTTTTTATTTGTCCCCTAGATAGATGAATCACATCAGCACCCAGCCTGCAAACCAGCCAAGGCTGGTTAACCTTTCCATGATCTCGCTGAAATTATTTTCCTTCCCCTTGGACAATGCTGTTGTTGGGTCCATGCTATGCAAAAACCTCCCCAGGCCAGTCAATGGGAGCAGATGGCCCGTTGCAGGATCAGAGCCCTCAAATGGTGATAAGCAGCTGCAGAACAGAGAACCAAGACCTGACAGCTACTTTTCATGGTTTGCTCTGTTCAAGCAGTTTTTGGAATGGCTTCCCCCACCGCTCCTACCCCCAAATGCTTGCAACACCTTGCTGAGAGAGGTCATACCTATCGCTCCCTGAAAATTACTTTCTTGCTAATCCCCGTGCAAAGATACTCGCTGCTTTTTAATCCAACATCTCAGACAAAAGTTCTGAGGCCCAAAGTTGGTTGCTCCAGAATACTTGAAATGGCACTTATAATTATTTTTTTTCCTTAATGACCAGAGGGGAAGGGGATAGCATGGTAGGGAAGGACGTGAAGAAAGGGAAACTGGGATAGAGTTGCTAGGAAATACACTGAGGGGTTTGAGTATGTCTGTGAAAGGATAAAATAAGCCCCCCACCCCCCAATCCAACTGTTTGTTTTGCTCCCGAGGCATCCAGTAATCACTGGGGTCCCTTATGTTCTAGTAAAAGCTTCCACCGCCTCCTTTCTATTCTCCAAAATGTGGGCATGATCCCTCCGCCTCCTCCAAAACTCAGACGTTAAAATCCACCCCCCTTCTTCCCTGCCCTGAAGAAAGCCTGCTGCGGTGTCAGCCGGGGTCTGCACTGCCCCTTGCCCAGCACACAAACGACCGGCCTGAGGAAGCGAGTGTCCCCTTCCTCCCACTGCCCACTCCCCGCCGGCTCTGCCCTACCCCACCACTGCAGCCCCCACAGCCTGTTTGCTCCCCTTCCTCTCCTCGCTTCAAGGGCCTCACTCAGACCTCGCACACACGACTTCTCACGCTGGCACACTCCGGCGACAGGAACGGAGCTGCTCCCCGTTTCTGTTAGCCTGGGCCTCCCCTTCCAGCCCCGCTGGTCTCCCCGCAGTCCTTTGCCCCACCGGAGGAGTGGAAGACGGGGCACAGCTCCGGCCCCGCTGCACCTCACAGTCCCGGGGAACTAGCAGCGCGGCTTCGAGGTGTATTGTGCATGAACTGTTTTTATCGTGTTTGTCTTGATCAGCAAAGCAAGAGGAATTCCACCTCCTCAGAGAGGACGCGACTGCGCTGATGTAAATGAGGCCCTTCACGTGTGCAACATACTGCAGAAATAAAGGAGAAAGCTCCATGTCTGACCAAAAACCCTGGGAATGAGCTCTCTGTCTTTGGTGTTTGTATGCTTGTAAGAGTCTCAGTGAGGTTAAATCTCTTCAAAATATTCTTTATATGAGCAAGGAGTTTGGAGAACCCGTTTTCCCAACTCCTAGAGGCTTTCTTTTCACTGCTTTCTGGATATTTTGAGTCAGGGTCATGTCAGCTCAGAGAAAATTCCCACATCCTTGAAGGTCAAAGCCAGACTGATGCACACACTGCTAGTATAATACCTTGAGCCTACCCTGCAGATATGCCCAGCTAGGTCAGTTCCCAAACACCAGTGCCACACAAGTCCTTCCCTGCAAGAGCATTTCTAGAAACCCCTCAGCCTGTGGTTGGTTGTGATTTCAGTGCCTCTCCCCTGCCAGAGTTAAACCTCACCAGTTCCCACTGGAGGAAAGCACTTGCTTACATATGCACAGGCCAAAATCAGCCTGGGAGACACCAGGCTGCGAGGAGACCTGCTGAGCTGAGGCACTGTTCTGTCCCAGCCTGGACCCAAGTCTCCCCAGGAGGTTGGTTCTGGGCACCATCGGGGCCCTCCACCCACTTCAACCCTTCTGGGGATATAGGCCTCCGGTTCTGCACAGCTCAAATTTCTTGCCTAGATCATGGCTTCTCTTGTCTCTGAGGGAGAGAATAAATCCTTTGCGGGCTGCTAAAGACGCAGATTCAAGGCCAGACACACATAGAGGTAGCCCTGACAGCTGCTTAAAAGAGCAATTGTACACGTGAATCTGTGGGGACAAGAACAGAGGCATGCAAGGTTTATTCGTTTACCCTAGATACACTAAAGCAGGGAGCTTTCCAAAGGATGCCTGGCATATTTCTTCTCCCAGGTACTGGATACTAGCTATTTTTCCCCAGACATTGCTGACAGTCATTCCTGAAGAGCGAGGATACTACTAATTCACTTGAGAAGCCAGTAAATCCTCCTTGTTTACCCCACATGGGAGTTACCAGAGAACAGAGCTCAGCTCTTTCCCATCAATTCCACTCACTGCCTCCATTACTGTTATTACTGTGATTAAAAAGCAATCAAAGAGAAATCTTCTTCCTGTCCTGAAATTGCTGCAAACATCTCAGTTCCACCACTTAAGCATAAGAAGAGCAAGTTATAAGCGCACTCTGCACTCCTGGACTCTCTGACACTAGAAAAAATAATGGAGGTCGTCATCTGAGCAGTCAGAGGCAGTGAGCAGGACTGGCCGCGCCAGCAGCATGGGGATGGAGTAATGAACCTCGCAGCTGCAGGGCTGTGTCACGCCTGCTTAGGGAATCTAGTCAGAGCAGCCTCAGACACGCCATAATGAAGGTCGCAGCCTGGAAGTGCGGTCTGAGTTCAGCGCTGCTGCACACCTGGCCTGGAGACCGAGGACAGCCAGCCCAGCTGAAGGAGACAGGACTGCTCACCTCCCTCTACTCGGGCAGACCGGAAGGGTTGGATCTGGGGTCAGGCATCAGCTCTCCATCCCAAGGAGATCCCTGAGAGAAGGAACAGGGGTGATGGGTCTCTCCGATCCAGCCAGCAGCTGCAGAAGGGCAGAGGACACTTGGACACCCAAAGCTGGGCTGTCAGAGCAAGGCTCAATGACAAAATTTACAGTCAGGGTGACTCAGAGGGAAGTGAGCAGCCGTGACCTCTCTTTGGAGGGCCGATGAAACCAAGAGCGGTCTTCTCCCTCTTTCACCCCCAGCAATTTGCAGTTTCCTTAAAGCTTAGGCTTCCGGGTCTAGCTTCTCGGCACAGAGGTGGCGGTTTCTCAGTGGAAACTTTATCTGTAAATCCCTGCTGCCCGCCAGAGCCACCCCAGCCCCTTGCCCCCACCCGACACCGGCCCAAAGCACCCTCCGTGCGGTTCAAGCAGGGTGCGTTACTGCATAACTGGCTGTCTGACTGTAATGGTAGCCTTTAGGCAATCAAAGAAGAAAGTGACTGTCACACAAGTAAGAGCAAGTTTATGCTGGATTTTGCTAGCAGGTATGTAATTCCGGGCTTCTGAACTAGAATGATGCATGATCTCTGCTAGTCCAATGTAAATAAGGAAGGAAAACGTAAATAACATGGGGACAGACCCTCTTCTTGGATATAAATGGGCTGCAATAGTCAGCTAAGAATCAAAGCAAGTAGCTCCAAAAGCTGATCTTCTTTAATAATTCATTCAGCTCACTCAATCACTTGACTTCTGTCCCCAGAGCAAGACAGGCCACTGTTTTATCTTTGTACATATTAACTATAAAGTTTTAAAATGAACAATTCTTCAGGGGCATAAACAAGAATAATAAAATCTAATTGCTTGTGAACCTTTAAATTTTTGCAATATTTTAATGACATATATTTGCCACTCTCTTGCACAAAGATAACACAGAAATAAAGTGTTTGAATTTGCTAATTAGCAAGCATAAAATACAGGGACACGTCCTCAATAAAACTATTGGGATGTTCAATCAAAGACTATGATAGCTTCTGAATTTTCATTGCCAAGAATCTGATCTTTAGACTTTTAGCTCTTCAGGTTACAGATCTTGAAATGATGCAGTATAACAGAGCATTTCCTCCAGACCAGGCTGGAGCCAATGGCCACAGTGACACCAGTTTCAGACCCTCAGTCAAGACCAAATTTGGCCTTGAATATTTCATAATCTTGGGGGCTAGCTCAGGACCTGCCTTC